CTCTAAAGAAATTCGAGTTCCTGAAGAGGAACGAGAGGCCGCAACTGCTTCAGCAGTAACACCTCGAATAGCAAATCCTGACAAAGAGAAGGTTGAAAGTTAAAGCAATAAAGGGAAAAATTTTACATATGAGAAAGACAAAAACTCATACCGTGAGTCTTTACTTTCCAACCGTGACGAATGGAAATAAATTTCCAAGACCTAGCCTCCATAGGCGCGATCTTCAACAGTTTATCTACCCAACCACGAAAATTGGAAACGTTCTCCACAACTCCCATGGTTGCTAATAATAATAATAATAATAATAATAATAATAATAATAAAGTTAAAGGAATTGATAAACTTGAAAGAAAAAGGCACGAGAGAGATGAGAGACTTACGTGCAAAGTTCCACTTCTCAGGGAAGGGAATGTCTTATTCACCCACTAAACCAACTGTGGGGCAGCAACAAATCGGGCATACCAGCCACGATCCTTATCATCTTCTGGGCTTTCCAAAACCCTCTTACTCCTAGCCACTAAGGTAAAGACGCCATTACGAAAAAGTCTAGGGAAGTATAGATGAATTAGGTGAGGGAAGGTGAAATTAACGTCTGCCAAATTGGCCAGATGTCTTAAACAAGCAACAAGCCTCCATACCAGTGGGCCAATCTATGCTAAACAAACTTTGAAGAAGCGACAGAAATCGAGAATCACTGGATCAATAGCTTGTTTAAAACCAAGAGTAAAAGGGTTTGTGTAAACAAAAGAAAGTCCAGTCATATAGGAGGTAATTCTTTGATTTGGATTGGGGATTACAATGGGAAAATCGTTACTCCAGTGACAATATTTGCAGACTATGGAAGCTAAAATCTCTGTAATCAAAGTGGGGTAAGCATCGGTACGATCTAGACCAGAAACTTGGGTTTGAAGTGATTGTCTATCATGGTGAAAAGATAAATCGTTAGGGACTATCTCTTCTACCAAGGGCTCCTGTAATGGTTCAGAGGCCTCCTTGCTCTTAGAAGATGATTTTTGGGTAAAAGAACCTCTAGTTCTAGAGGAAGAACCAGGGCTAGGAGAAGGCATGGCAGAACCGCCACCGCGAGAGGATCCTAAGCTACGAAGTCTCCCACCCCTTCTATGTCTAACAGGGGCATTGGGAAAATTATCTAAAATAGAAACTCTCTTAGGGTTAGGGTTCGAAGAAGACATGATGATGAAGAAGAAGAAGTAAACAGAGATTTGCACAGTTTAAATGTTCGAGAAAAAAAGTTTTATGTGGTAAAAGGTGAACGGTAGAATTGTATTTATACTGATGGGTAACCGTCAAAAGTAAAAATGCAGTAATGGAAGGGTCACAATAATGGTAACTGGTACTTCATGAACAGTGGAGCCGAAAAGAAAGCCTGAGAAAGTGTTGTAAAACTGCGGAACCAATAAGAAGATAACACGTGTCTAAAGCATTAAATGGGAGTGATAATTGAAGCGTTAACTCTGTCAGAGCATTAATGGTGACAAAAATTCTCCTTTAATGAATTTCACTTCCCAAATATTCAAACTGGTCAATAAATGGAAAGTGGGGGGACTATCTGTATTGGGAAAAATTGTATTTATATGTATATGGTGACATGTCATGACACGTAGACTGGTTAAACAGTCAAGGAATTAAGGTTGGTTAACAGATACGAGCAACAGCAGATACAAACAAGTTAAATGGAGAAGGCACGAGCAGTCATACAAGTAATTCAACGCTCGTACCTATTCAAGACATTTAAAGGTCAAAGATCGTGAAGAGTCAAAGGAATGAATCTGACAGCAAAAAAGAGCCCAGATACAGCATTTAATGAGTATTAAATACTGGAAACGTTAGAGAATATGTATTTAACGTATATGATTGCATAACGTAACATTTAAAGTCATTAATTGTCCATAATTGTCTTATTATAACAAAGGTAAAGTCTGTATTCCCAAAATGGCTATAAAAGGGAAAGTCACAAACAACTGTAAGGAGGGAAAAAAAACACTATTGGAATATACTTTGATTTACTTGCTTTCTGATCATATTACTCACAAATTTCTTTCTTTATATACTCTTTTTCGATTATCAATAACCCGTGTTCTTCTAAATTCAAGCTTTGACCTAAAATTTAATTTTTGGCTAAACAATAATGACATGGCACTGTACAAATTTCAAAGCATTTAGCTTATTATTTATGAGAAAAAAGAGAGCATATTACCTATCAAGTATTCTGGTAAAGTGAGGTATAGTTTTGACTAGTGCTTCTTTGCAACAATTTTTGTTCACTTCCATTAGAAGGAACATTCTTGTCATTAATGTTTATTAGGAATATTACTAAAAGACAATGTTTATTAAGAGTAATATGTCTTGATGCATTATTCTAAGGCCACAAAGGATACAAGGCCTACTGCGAAAGAGCCAGAGCCATTATTTTCTTAAGCAACTTACAAACTTGATTATGTTAGCAACATCCTTTAGCGTGAGAAGAAAGTTTTTGTAGAAAAGATGGCCAAAATTTTACGGTATAGCCAGTTTTCGGACTGGTCAATCAAAAATAGTCAGCGTTTACCAAGTCAATAAAAAATAGCCACCATTTTGCTGCAATAGAGACCGGTCCAGCATAATATACTGGAGTTTCGGTGCACTTGTGTATGAACTCCAGCATAGTATGCTGGACCGGTATACTTTGCTGGCTCTAGTATAATATACTGGAGACTGTAGCACTGGTGCTCCAAACTCCAGTATATTATACTGGACCATTATACTTGCTGGAACTCCAGTATATTATGCTGGAGTTCTAGTGTATTTATGCTGGAACTCCATCATATTATGCTGGAGTTCCAGCATACTATCCTGGAACTCCAGTATAATATGCTGGAGTTCAAGTATACTTATGCTGGAACTCCATCATAATATACTGGAGTATTTTCCAGGTTTTGAACAGTGTTTTCGCTCAGATTTATCTTTACATAAAAAGTGGCTAAATTTCGATTACTTTTGAAATTGGGCTATTTTTGAACGACCAATTGTAAATCTGGCTACTTTTAAAAATCACGCGAAAAGGTGTAGTGCAAATGACACCAGGTAGCCACTTTTAAGCATATTTATTAAAATATATTCACAGGTTACAATGTATTTAAAGATTAGCCAATTTCGCTCAAACTTCAGGGCACGGCGTCCTAGAGTTCAAACCTCAAAGTTCAAACTTCTTGACATCGTGTCCTAAGTTTCGAAAATTATGTCCAGAATTTCGAATCTTATGTCTTGAATTTTAAACTAGCAGTATCAATTCAGGTCACTTAGTCCTGAATTTCAAATTCACAGCTCAAAAATTCAGAATACTTGGTCCTGAAGTTTCGGTGAGTATGCTAATCTTTAAAGACATTGTAAACTGTGAATATATTTTAAACAACATGCTTAAAAATGACTATTGCTGCACTTCGACGAAGATGTACTTCAAAGATTATTGAGAGTATATAGGTATTGAACGCTTCATTTTTTGTGTGTGCGTGTATATATATATATATATATATATATATTCCTTCTTTGTAAACCATTTCCCTTATTTTTCTGAGTTTTCTTAATTGGAGGATTAGTCTTATTTTACCTTATTTATTAAATTTTATTAAACATTAATGACTTAATTTCATAAGCTACAAAAAGTCCTTTGGTTTATCCGTTACTCAAAAATATATTTCAATAATCTCATGTGCTTATTCAAAATTTTATAAAAAATTATTTGGAATACACATGCAACGCTCGTGTCCTGAAACTAGTATTATTATAAAAGTGGGAAGCCCTAAACTAAAAAATCAAATTACTAAAATGTCTTCTTTAAGGACTTAATTATCCTTCCGTGTATAAACTAAACTCTATACACTAAATCATCTACTATATAAGTAAAGGACACTGACGAATATATGATCTATTTAAAACTTTATTAAAATTGAATAAGCAATTGTTCCATCATAAATACTATATCCAAATCAAAATTCATGGTTAATAGTATATATCCCAACACCTATGCTTATGAAAAGCACAGAGTTTGTCATCATCATAAATGGAGAATTTGTTGGCCCAAGCAAAGTTTGTTTTGATGATTGACAAAGGAACTCAAGCATGAACCAGGTCCACACACACTGGACACAGACACGGGCAAATTAGAGCACAAGGTATACAAGTGAAGAGATAAGCTTAAGTGGTTATATTTGATATCTCTTGAACGAAAATGTTGCATAAGTGATAAGTAGAAGGACTCCTTACTCGAAGAGAACTCTATCCTAGATAAGGGAAAAGTTAGAAGTTGAAAATAATTAGAACTCTTCCACCAAGGAAGAGTATAGCCTTGGAATACTAGTTATTTCCTATTTTACTAACTCTATATATTTCAGGATGTTCTCATTTTATAGGTATGCACAAACGTTGAAGTTAAACGTGAGTTGGGAGCAAAATAGCAAGTCATTTTGCAAGTAATTCGTGTGCGATTCAAGTGTGCAAACCTAAAGCTACATGAACCAGATAGAAGAACTAATTCCAAGTGTTTGTCTTTTATTCTAGTTCCATTGTAGTAGGGATTTCAAATTCTACCTTTCAGCTTTATCTAGAAGCAATTGTACTAGGTACTCTGTGTATTGTTCAAGTTAGAGTTAACTTGAAGTTGTCGCAACAGTTAGAGGCTGGTAGCCACAAAGGGATTAGAGGTAATCCTTAGGCTTACTAAGAGTTTTGTAAATGTTGTTTTAGCTCAGTGATTTAGTGAAGTGTTGGGAAAAATCCTACTGAGTAGTAGGTCGTGATTTTTTCACCTTTTGAGCCGAGTGTTTTTCACGTAAAAATACTTAGGTTCTTTATTTTCTGCATTTATTATTCCGCAGCTATAGTGTAAGGAACACGTAAAAGAACCAGGTCCTTCTATAATCTGTGCACACGAAAAAGTAGACACCACACGAATCACCCCATCTTGTGTGGTATTTGAAGTATAAAACAACAATTACACTATCATGTTTGACAGCTCCCAGTTGATACAGCTGAGAGACCAAGAAGATGTCAATACTTTGTTACAATTTAATGATGGCTTTGCTCATGTTTATGCGTCAAGTTTGGAAAAGGAGCCTTGTTCTAGACTGCCATTAGGTGGTGTGAAAAAAGTTGAAATTATTGATTCAGAACCAGATACATCTCTTGCAGGTGATGATGTGAATGATTTAGCATGCCTTCTGAAGAAGGTACGATTCCGATCAGCTGGAGACACTAAACCACAGAAGAAAGAAGTTGTCGGTGGTGATGGTCCAAAACATGTTGGTGTAACCAGCTCGTGCAGTAATTCCATGAATAAATTAAATCAAAATGGAGTGTGCCTTCCTGAAGGTGATGTGCAGAACAACAATTCCAAGATTGGGACAGTTAACAAACAGGCTTCTAGACCGCAATCAGGTCTTGCAGAGAAAGTTGAACTTATAGTTGATTCAGAATCATATGCAATTCCTGATAGTGACCCTTTGGATGTGTTTAATTGTCCTGATTCTGAATTCAATGATTTTGACAAGCATAAAGTTGAGAATTGCTTTGTGGCCGGCCAAATCTGGACTTGCTATGATATGGATGATGGTATGCCAAGATTATATGCCCTCATTCGGAAGGTGTCCAGTCCTGAATTCAAGATAAAGTTCTCATGGTTCAAGCCTCCTCCAGAAGATGAAAGGCAGAGTGCATGGATCAGGGCAGACTTGCCTGTTGGGTGTGGGAAATTTAGACATGGGAATTCTGAATATACTTTTACTCGACTTATATTTTCTCATCAAGTGCCGTGTGAAAAGAGCGAGAGAGGTATGCTCATCGTATATCCCAGGAAAGGGGAAACATGGGCCCTTTTCAAAGATTGGGACATTAGTTGGAGCGCCGATCCAGATGATCATAGTGTTGGGCACATGCCCATGTTGTCCAGCCAAAGGCCAAATGACCTAATCCTATTCTCTTTTGGTTTCCAATCCTATTTGGAATTGGATTCGGTTTATTCCTATTTTGAGTGGGTTTTTGCTTTAAGAGAAAGCACCACTCATGATCTATAAATAGGACAACCTTGGAGAATTATTCTATGCTCATTGATACAAGTCTTTGAAAGACTTAAGCACATAAGAGTGGGTTTTGAGAGAGCTTTCATCAAGAGAGAAGAGAGGAAAAAAGTATTTGTTTTGCTGCAGATTTTTATTCCGACCAGCCAACTTCAAATCACGTTCGATTCGTTAACCATTGGATCGGGCTGAAATTTGACTGAGTGTTCGTAACATCTTGGTCTTGGATTTGAAGTGGAGATCGGATTTGGAGGTTCGTAGCATCTAATTTCGAGCCTCAAACAACAGCTTCATTTTGTGGATTATACTCTTTCTTCAATTGATTAGTTGTTGCTCTTGTTGCTCTTGTTGCTCCGTGTTTGGCTCTTGTTGTATAGCCAATTTGGAGAACTTTTTTAACCCTCTTATTGTTATAGTGGAGCTTTTTGGATCTTTGTGATCCCGTGGTTTTTACCTTCGATTTGAAGGGTTTTCCACGTTAAAATTTGGTGTTCTTTATCTTCTTTATTTTCGGATTTGCCTCTTCCTCGACATAACAGTGGTATCAGAGCCTTGGTTATTTATCCGGGTTATTACGGAATGGAGGCGAATATGAGCAAGATGGTATGTTTAAATAGGAGAAATTATAATATTTGGAGAAGCAAGATGAAAGACTTGTTGTTCGTGAAGAAGATGCATCTACCCGTTTTTTCTGCTCATAAACCCGAGAGTATATCCGATGAAGATTGGGATTTCGAGCACCAACAAGTATGTGGATATATACGGCAATGGGTTGGGGATAATGTTCGCAACCATATTGTGAACGAGATACATGCGAGATCATTGTGGGAAAAGCTAGAGACTCTTTATGCTTCAAAAACTGGGAACAACAAATTGTTTCTGCTAAAGCAATTGATGACCTTTAAATACAAGGAAGGCAGCCCTATCCTTGATCACATAAATGATTTTCAGGGCGTCCTTGATCAGCTATCTGGAATGGGGGTTAATTTTGATGATGAGATACAAGGACTTTGGCTTCTTAATACTCTGCCAGACTCTTGGTTCACTTCTGAAACCAACAATACGATCAAAATCTCACACCTACACTCTGAATAGGCCCGAAGGTGACCATGGAATATGCCAAGAGTGGTGTGTTGAACGAGGAAGTAAGGAGAAAATCGCAGGGTTCATCCTCACAAGCAGATATCTTGGTTACAGAAGACCGGGGGAGAGATAGAACAAGAGGCTCAAGGAATAGAGGTAAAAGTAGAAGTAAGTCAAGGTCCAAATACTATAATGTTACATGCAACCACTGTGGCAAGAAAGGACACATCAAAAGGTTTTGCCGCAAGTTGAATCAAGACACTAGAGAAGGAAAGAAAGTTGAAAATAACGAGAACAATGTTGCTGCTATTGTTCAAGATGACCTTCTTTTTGCTTATGATGAAAATGTCATCAATTTGGTATCCCATGAGACGAGCTGGATAGTAGATTCTGGAGCTACCTCACATGTCACACCAAGAAAAGATTTTTTCTCATCTTATACTCATGTTGATTCTGGAGTGTTAAAGATGGGCAATGCCAGTGAAGTTAAGGTGTTTGGTGTTGGCACAGTTTGTTTGAAAACTAATAATGGTTCAACGTTAGTTCTTCAAGATGTGAAGCATGCTCCAGACTTTCCTTTCAATTTGATCGCCGCAGGAAGATTAGACGATGAAGGTTGCCATAATG